TTCTATTTAAAGATTCATTTCAAACTATTTTTCAGGATGTAATTCATTCAAGTATTATATAATTGTATAAGCGCAGAATACAGAAAATAAACATTAATTTCATTGTAAAAGCAAACTGAATAGAGAGGTTTAATTATTCTTGGGAGAATCACTGCGCTCCAATATGAGAACATAAAGTGAAGAAAAGTGTAGGCCCTCTGGCTAATCCTGTATTGTGCTGTCATAAACCACGCAAAATCTATAGATTCTGCGATAACTTGGTACTTATAAGTTTGATACATGAATTTCATGGCTTTATAGCATATTGATTGCTAGCCTATAACAACACAGCGTCATCAATGCCCAATAATGGACAAATAAGGAAATGGTAAGAATTAGTTCGTATCAAAATGTGATATAATATTTGCATTCCAAACAAACCACTTCAATATCTATAACTGGGGTTGAAAGTATAAAATAAAAGGACATAATTAGCTGGTATTAAAACTACGATCAGTTATTTGCGTTCTTTCTTTATCTGTTTACAGACTTCGATATCCATCAAAAACCATAGAAAGACTAAGAAGAATGGTCGTATATTGTAATTGGATGGTATTAAACAAGAATATATTTGCAATCATTTTTGATTAATGTCAATAGATCTATTAGGGCTGAAATTGTGTTTAGTTGGCCATCTTCAGTGTTGATTTTCTCATTTGTATCTTTATTGACTAAATCCTCCTGTATAATTACAGAACATTTCAAGACAAATATACAGAATCCAGAAATGTGTTTTCCTAATTTTCCTCAATGGAGTTTACTCTGCAATAAAAATTAGAAATTCAAGTCACCATTTGGAAGAGACATGCACTGAAGAATTCTCCCAAAGGGATATTCAATATATTTCTTGGATACCACTGTGGTCAAAAGGCTAACAGGCTTGAAGACATTTGTGTGTTCATTCAATCACAGATGAAGTGAATGGGGCCGGGGCCGGGGTGTATATTGCACTAATCATTCGCTAGAGAACAATTGTTGTAACACTTTTGGGGGAAATACAGCAAAAATAAACAAATACAGAAGAACCTAAGTTGAACACTTTAAAAACCTCTAAAATTTATTTTTTGGGTGGTTTGAAACTTAAAAAGCTTCGTTTTATTAAGTTGTCTAGTTCTGGGACTATGAATAATGTTCAAACTTATGGAGTTGTTTCACTTACAAAGGTGTTCTACTAAATTAGAGGTTCTTCTGTACCAAGGTTAAATAGAAGTCAATGTCAAGAACTCAAGATGTGAAATGATCATTGACATACAAGCCAAATCTTCCGCTATTTCACCATTCAAAATTCTAAACGAGTATTTACTGTTCCTGGTTCTTGCCAATGATTAGCCAATTCCCAAAAGACGGCTCTTTTGGAAGAACAGTATGTTTCATGATCCCTCTTAAACCAACAATTGATCCCTCGATTCATAGATGCAAGTGATCAAAGGTCATCTCAGTATACATAGGCCAATCATCACTTGCGAAAATGTCAAATTGTGATAAATGAAAACATACATATATTCCAAGAAATTACTGTAAAGTAAAGTAACAGCATGCAATAGCATTGCATCTCACGATCATTAATCACCAGCTTTCAAACTCGCCACTAATTTGATTGACTATTGATTTTTGAGTTAGCAGTCATGAGAAAGGATATTCTTTACAGAAGAGGTATAGTAAATTATTACACTTTGCGCTTTAAAGATACGATATGGTAGCACATCTTATGAAGATGTAGCGAATAGACATGGATTGCACACAAATTATGAATGGAAACAATCTGTACAAAGTTGACCTTGTGCTTCAATCAAAAATATATGTTCAGTTGATTATAATGCTACCATTATAATAATAATTAATATAATAAAGTCTTTGTGACATCTAAATATGCTTTTTTTGATTTTTATCTTATCCTGATGGTAAAGTAAATTGAAGATATTCATATCTTAAAATCTTGATCTCATCCTGGTCCAGCTTGATTGAATCCTAAACTATACTTTGATGTTTTGGGGAATATATAGTGCTCTGATAAAGGCCAAACTGATCATAATCCTCATTTACATAAAAAAAATAACACAATGATACAAACTTCTGCACAAATCGTAGCTACTACAGGGGTAATGGTACCATTGCAAGCAAATCCTAACACAAGAGGTCACATGACTTATTCTCAACTGAAGTCAAATGATCCAAATTTCAATGCCTGTTGTAGAGGGGGTTTGGGGAGGTGGGGGGAGCGAACCCCCTGATTTTAAAAACTAACCCCCTCCCCTTGGCAAAAGCTGGGCTTTGGCCTTGCATTTCATAAAATTACTAAATTTTACATTTTACAGCATTCATCATCATCTGAGACACTGACTCAATGTGACTTGCTAGTCATTGATATAACTGTGTCCTGAAAATGAGTGAAAAACCAATTCACAGAAAAGACTAAAACTATCGAAACAGGTGAATGAACCTCATACCTTAGTAAATTTACTCCTCAAAATGATTTAAAGAAAGGAAGTCTAACTTCCAAGAAAATTCACTTGTACCAATACCAATTATATCTGCTATTGCTAAAGTGAAAGAAGAATAGACGATCGTTCTACATAGGAAAAAGAGAATCACAGCAATTTTCTGCCCTTATTAGCAGCGGAAAGAGAATTTCCCATTGGATCATTATCAATTAAACAATTGATATTTGAAACAGGAGTGAGATCTCTATGCTCTTTAACAAGATTGATGCTATCACAATGGAATTGGGTCAAATTCATCATTTGCAGTTCAATCAAATAAAACGTCAGTCCGTCACCAATATGAGACAATCAAAATCACATGTTGTCATTTTCAGACTTTAAATTCTAGAAAGTTACGAATCTGGCTTGACAGTAAAATAAATTGGTATTTTGTGTTTAAATTTTGTCTAACTCGTAAAATGTATTTGTTGATTAATGTCAAAAGCATATAATTGGACACAGTGTGAGTTAGATACTAATTTTATCTTTAGAAGTTAAAGAGGTGCATAAGTATGATCAATAAGAATTATCACCAGCTTTTAGATCAGTTTGTTTTATCTTTCACCCATAAAGCTTTTTTATGAACTTCCCATTTCACACCATAATGGATAGTATCCTTTGAAAGTATAAACCATTCTCACCATGCATTACCCAATCTTTAAAAAAAACAGTGTCTAATACAGATTGGAATAGCCTTTTGGGAAGGGATATCCTATGTTGGGAATACCCCCCCCCCCCTACCATTATCACACAGATTGCAGTCCTCAATGATATTTTTCTAATTAAATTAATGCCCATTATCACACTTGTCTGGTCACTAATGTAGTTGAAGATAATCAGAGAAGTCATGAGGGTTATCACTTCAATCTTCATAATTGATACAATTGCTATCATCTAGGACCAGATTTATTAGCTTGAGAGCTCATAAAGCCAAACCATTATGGCTCAGAGGATATGTCATGGTTTGGCCAACATAGAATGCTAAGGATTTAATTGAGGTCATCGCCCATGTGTGATCAACCCCAATGCTTCTGTCACATTTGATCTATGGCAACCATACAGTGACCAATAGCTTCCCAAAATTGAGAGGAAATGTAGCATAAAATATAAGGGTAAGCAGTACAATGAAGAACAATTTTCATCAATTTTCTTTTACATTTAACGGACTTAACCTGTTTTGGAACCATGTTGCCCATTCATGTGTGATGACACTTTGGAACCATGTTGACCATTCATGGGTGATGACACTTTGGAACCATGTTGACCATTCATGGGTGATGACACTTTGGAACCATGTTGACCATCCGTGGGTGATGACACTTTGGAACCATGTTGACCATTCATGGGTGATGACACTTTGGAACCATGTTGACCATTCATGGGTGATGCCACTTTTGAACCATGTTGACCATTCATGGGTGATGACACTTTGGAACAATGTTGACAATTCAAGGGTGATGACACTTTGGAATCATGTTGAACATTCACTTTGAAACCATATTGACCATTCATGGGTGATGACACTTTGGAACCATGTTGCCCATTCATGGATGATGACACTTTGGAACCATGTTAACCATTCATGGGTGGTGACACTTTGGAACCATGTTGACCATTCATGGGTGATGATACTTTGGAACCATGTTAACCATTCATGGGTGATGACACTTTGGAACAATGTTGACAATTCATGGGTGATGACACTTTGGAACCATGTTGACCATTCGTGGGTGATGACACTTTGGAACCATGTTGACCATTCATGGGTGATGCCACTTTGGAACAATGTTGACCATTCATGGGTGATGACATTTTGGAACCATGTTGACCATTCATGGGTGATGACACTTTGGAACCATGTTGACCATTCATGGGTGATGACACTTTGGAACCATGTTGACCATTCATGGGTGATGACACTTTGGAACCATGTTGACCATTCATGGGGGATGACACTTTGGAAACATGTTGACCATTCATGAGTGATGACACTTTGGAACCATGTTGACCATTCATGGGTGATGACACTTTGGAACCATGTTGACCATTCATGGGGGATGACACTTTGGAACCATGTTGACCATTCATGGGGGATGACACTTTGGAACCATGTTGACTATTCATGGGTGATGACACTTTGGAACCATGTTGACCATTCATGGGTTATGACACTTTGGAACCATGTTGACCATTCATAGGTTATGACACTGATGGTACTGATATTTTACTCTATTGCAAACAGAGCTCACTTTTTCTTTGAGAGATGATGTAAAATATAATATAGATGTGACTCTTCAATCATGGCTTGCATCAAGTCCTTCATGACACAATTGGTGCTTTGTGATAGAAGACCAGTATGGGAGGACATGATGACTTAGAAAAGGACCAGTCTTGAAGAGACTGACTGGTATTCAAAAGAACCGGGCAGGGCAAAGATAATCTTCATCTGATACATGTAAAAGAGTGATAATGTCCAAGGACTTGCTGCAATGTATGAGCACAATATAGGGAAATTCATTGTGGTATCCACAGCTCTATTGTAACCTTCTGAAGAGAGTATTGTTTGTTCTCCCAAACATTAGATAAAGACTAAAAGATCGAAGAGGAACTCTGCTAAATTAACTAAAGCAAGACACTTGTAGAATGAATACTTACTGTAAACTGCAAGATACGTCCATGTCCCGTTGTTCTCCTTCTCTTTGGCGCCATCTAGGAATGTCACCTTACACTCATACCACCCCTCATCTGACTGCTGAATGTTCATCAATTCGATCGTAGCTTGGGAGAGTAACTCTAACCTGCTAGAATAATGGGGGTCTATGTGGGGCTCATAACCATTATACTTTATGAAGATGGGCACCTCAATTCCTTCTTTCTTCCATTGGATTATATGGTCAACATATTTGTCTTGTGGGTAATCAATGTCGCATTCTAGAATTCTTGATCCGCCGATTTTTGCTGATTTTTTTACGCTGCGTTTCGAGACATTGTTGGTGTGGTCTTCATTCCAATCTAGAAATACAAATATTGAATTTACTTAACAAAAACATTTAGAGAAGTACCAAATTTGTTCAAAATAGGTTTTCTTGCAAAATCTCTAACCTGATCTGGAAATGTTCCAAACCTACTCCAATGATGATTGAATTCCTTATAATTAATGAGATGTACACAATATTTTATTTGGTTACCAAAATACTGGCAGTTATATGTAGATTGAATTAGGATCCAATCTAATGATTACATGCTATAGTAGACACGAAGGGGCTATGTATTTTTAACATGCAATGTATCACTCAAAAAGTAAAAGTCATACTTCTATCACTCATGTATTATTCATTACAAGGTGCTCATATGAGTAAAGAACATAATTCAAACAGTTTTTAATACCATAGTACAGTAAAACCTGTCTTGAACACTCTCTAGTGAACACCTGCGTGTAGTCCTCTTGTCAGCATATACTCCACTGACTTCTGTATAACATTGCCTCTCTGTAGTGAACACTGAACACCTACTTATAGTGAACACATTTTTTGTGGCTCCATTGGAGTTCACTGTACACAGGTTTGACTGTATTTTATATTGTTACAACCTCTATCTAAATACTTGATTTTGATTGGTCAGAATAGATAAGTCAATTTCTTTACTATTGACTGCATGAAAAGCTAACTAAAATTCTTTAAAAGTCAATAACTTTTCTAAAGGATGCTTGGATAACTAAACATGTTACATATATCCGTATCATCATAGTCATATTATTTATCTAATACTTAAATATGTTTGGGAGATTCAACACAGATATAGTTACCTAATGTTATATATGAAACACATGTATAACTCTTGTAGCATATGTATTATATGCTATGACATTAGGTTAGGTAATAATCAATTGTACCTAATTATTGTATATATCATGACATGTGATTATCTCTATTATTTAAAGGTGCAAAGATGTAGTTGGACAAGTTCCCATGTATTAGATAGTGAAGGTAATGCTTTATGATGGGTATTATATAACGTGTCTGTATTAATTATATGTCCTGTCTAGTTCCTTTATCTCGATTATTTCATGCTATAATTGGATAATACCAAATATAAATTTCAGATATAATATATTGCACCTTTGAAATCTCTGGGCCCCCTACCCATTTCAATATTTGGTTTTGAATCTTTAAAAGATTCATCAGAAAAACAAATTCAAGATATGGATGTGTGGAGTATTTTCCAAGAGAAAAACATATGGAACTCAAAATCGACACATCTTCCTTCACTTGGCTCCCTTCGGTCGAACATAGTGGAGACCGGAGTGTCCGAAGATGAGATTGACATGAAAAGATGAGAGTGCATCAAAAAGATGAACTAGTTATTACCCAGAATACATCACAAAGATGAACAAGTAATAATTACCCAGAGTGCACACCATTAGGTCAGTAATTTACAGTTATTTTCTTGGTTATGGATTTACTTTTCAAACAACTATTTTTCTCATGGTAATAAGGAAAATACAGCAATCAATTCTTGGCACATTTTGATGGTCAATTAGACCTCTGAGAGATGAAAGAAATCCATTTGAGGATAAAGGCAACTAAGCTAAACAGTTCTAGACAATTTCCTCAGTTTTCGAGAAAATTGCTAATTGAGAAACTCTCATCTCATAAAGACAATCTTGTCACTACTTATGACACACTCAGTGGTGGTTAGAATCAGAGTAATACAGATACCCAAGTATTCATCATTCATATAGATTTTCCTGTTGACCATGACATAGAGAAATTAGAGAACCAACTGTTCAGTCTTTACAGTGTCAATAGAATCTTTGTCTTCAAAGAAGTGGCCTTTTTCGTTGGGCCCTCCAGTGGCCGATCCAGGAACCAACAGGGGGGGCCCAAATTTGACGTCCAAAAAAAAAAAATGTGGGCCCCTAAAACCGAAAAGTGGGCCCAATTTTGAAAATTTGAGGCCCATTTTCTTCAAAATTTGCCCTAAAATCAAAAAAAATAATGACCAAAAGGCCCACTTTTTGGGGCCTTAAGGCCTTATTTGGCCTAAAATTTTTTTGGGCCCAACTTTTTTTTCTGGGCCAACCTTAGGGGGGGGGGGGGGGGGCGGGCCCTTTTACTTCTGTAATTAAAGAAGTCACCAGAAAACAGAATTATGGCCACTTGATTAGATGAATGTTTGGTCATTAAAAGCTTTTGCCTATTTAACAAAACATGACTCTTTGCCTCAGTTATTCCAGATGATTTGGCAATAATCATGTTAACCCTTATAGGCCAGTTCAATGTTGACACTCACGTGCCTAGCATCAATGGGTCTGGGAGAGGGGTCGTATTTGTTTACTCATGCATTTTGGGCATAAGAATGAGCCTTTTTTGGCCTAAATCACAAGGGGCCAATTTTTCATTATGGGCTAGGACTTGAAAAACTGCCCTTCCTCTCGTTTCTGGATCAACCGACACCTTGTACGATGCCTAGTGTGATATTCTCTCTGTCATATTGACAACTACAGTAAACAATCATCAAATTCTATATATTGATCAAATACTAAATTCAGCCAAATTACTGAGCCCTCGATTCATTGACTTTCTTCAGAAATACCTACGCAAGTTAAGATGGAAATTGGCAATTTGGCTAAATAAGCAATTGAAACAATACTTGACTAACTTGTGTTTAAAGAGTCACTCTTGGCAATAAAAGTACTTTTGAGATGGTATTATGGCCTTGTACTGCAGAGAGTCATTTTGGAAGTGAAAACATTTAAGATGATAAGTAAGATGATTTGACAAGACTCTCAGTGATAAATGCTGCACAAAAGACAAAAGGAAAAAAATTCACCTAATGATATAAACACTGTACAAATGGCAAACATCGATGCTTAAAAATTATTGATATAAAAACAACCTTCTAAAAATATAAGAATTTACCCAGAATTCCCCAAACTTAATGAGACTACCAAGGAGTTCATCAACAAACCACAACTGGAACCATTGTCATTTATTTTATCCCAAGCCACTTGCCAATTGTCCAAGATGATTAAAATATAGCACTTATTGAATGCAATAAAAAACTGCTGTTGACAGACAGATGGGTGATTTGACAAGAAGTTGATCCCAATGGCTCTTTGTCTGAGCTATAAATGAAACTATGCATGAACAACACATTACTGACTTGAGGGTATAATGTAATTGACCGCCTACTATCAGAACCTAATACAAAGGTGGAATAATAACCTCAAGAAACATCTCCAGTAGCATCGAACATCAGAACGAATTGGCATAAAAAGAGAGATTGTTTTCAAAACAATGATTCTAATGTGATACTGCGGCAACCCTGAATTGACACAATGGCATATCATCGATGATTTGCAAGCATTTCAGACATTGAACCGTAGAAGCCTTCAAAAAAGACACGAGCCAATCTGATGTTTGGTGTGATGCTACTTTAAATGACAATCAAAAGAAATAAAATAAAATAAAAAAAACATTTCTACGACACATTTAAATTGCATATTAATCTAGAGAAACAGCAAAATCATTAATAATGATTTTTAAAAGTCAAAGGAGAAACAATCATCGAATATTCGAAAGGAAACTTAGTGCATTCTGGTATCTTTAGCTAAAACATGTCTACAAACAGATTTCTAGCTATAAATGACAGAAAATCAATATAAAATCAATGTTACATAAGGAAATGTGAATATTTCCATCGATTATGAAAAGTGATACAGGCCATGTTAACTTATTGTAACTAATTATTTGCTTTTTAATTGAACCTAGCGAGAGAGCCATTGACTTACATTAACATGGTGTGAAGTAGAATCTCAGATAACAATATTGGCTATCAGAAATATTTATCTTGCAATCTAGAAGAAATCAAATTGTTTCATAATATACTAGTACTTGAGAAAATTCAAGTGGTTAAATGAATTATGATGAGACATCACACATGGCATTATTAGAATACACAATATTCAGAAAACTTATGAAAAGCACATATGGCAACACTCGAGAGCACAAACAAAAATCAAGAACTGTATCATCAATATAGTCAAATGCATGGTGTTTTCAAATTATATTTTAACACTGGATAATGAATACATGAAGATTCTTTTGATTTGGCACATTTTACTAATAAACATACTTCAGAACAATTGAATATTGTGTCGTATCACTGCTTATTGTATTCTTGCTTGATGGTAAAGACACAGATATCACTTGTTGCAACATTAATGATGTTGGTACATACATCAATAGGATACCATTATTGTTTGTTCGTGAGTGACCAATGAATCATTCATTAGTATTATAGTATATTATTTATAATGAATATACAGAAATGCATATGAAAATTCTTACAGATACATAGTGGAAATAAATCTACAGTATCTCCATTATTATGTAAAACAAACTATAAAAAATAAAAGTAAAAGTTATATATGAATTCACTCTTCTAAAAAGCTAAAATTATTTCTGCTTAGAGGAAATTACCACCTTTAACCTACCATTTTCATGATAACAGAGAAAATATGAATACCTGAATGCTGAAGTGGAAGAGGTTCACAAAGATGTAACAAAAGCCATAGATGATCAATTGCCAGGAAATGATCTTAATAAGAAAGAAGATGCTTTGAGATATCAGAATGCAAGTACAGTAATTAATCTGTGAAGACAATAAACAGAGGTTATATCTTGTTAAACAAACATGATGTCAAGTACCATTGGGACAACTGTAGCAAATTTCCCAGATATATCAGATACTGCCCTTTGTCAGGCTCAGGCTCAACCACATGTATTTCAAGATTGATGATTGGATCTTTCAAAGAGATTAATCTTCAACTTCCAAGGTGATTATAAAACAAGTCAGTCCATTTCCCAACTGAGGTGAACTGACTTTTTCACATCAGCCCTTAGCACAGAATTCAAATCTGTGTCTTCACATCCAGTTTGGGCAATCCAAACCTTGCGAATCAAAGTACTATTTTAAATGATAGCCATGAGATATAATAGGTTTATAATA